TTATCTATTTTATATTTAAAAAATATTTAAAAATAAATATCTATTTTAATCAAAAGATAAATAATTAAAGTTAAGAGATAATTATAGGGTCAAAGTAGAAAAAAAAAACTATTTATCTTCTTTAAAATGAAAAAATACTATTATTTTAGGATAAATTCTAAATAAAAAATATCAATTATTATGAGATAAAGAGAGTATACTAATTTTTTTGTTAGAACATATCTACTAATAAGTATAAAACAAAATTTTAAAATAAAATAAAATAAATTTATAAAACTTGAAAGTTAAAACCCAATATGGCAATATATGATTCATATAAAAAGAGATAGTATTGTTTTTAGTTTTTACTAAGAAATTAAGAATCTCTTTGGTGGTCCCTTAATTTGTCTTCAAGCTTTCAATGAAAAGAACAGTGTTGCAGTGACTTGCATCGAGCTGACGATAAAGTGTCTTTTTTCTCTTTTTTCTCTTTTTGAAGTTGTTGGGTTGAAGGAGATTGACATTAGGACAGTGGGGTTAGATACTGGAGAAATGACATAGAAGACACAAGAATTAGTTTTTTTTTTTCTACAAAATTCAGTTGTGTTCCTTGATATGAGTAGGTTTGATATAATAATAAATAATTAAATTATTAAAATGAATAATAGATTATATAGATTATATTTAAGCTTTTAAAACAGTCCATTATTATTGGATTTTTTTTATTTTATATATTTTAATAATTAAAAATATAATATTGAAAATTTTAATAATATTAATTAATAAATTAATTATATATAAATTTTTTTTCAAATCCCGACCCCATTGGTCTCTATGTGGCTCAGCCACTATCATTAATCCTCTCATATATTAATTCCAGATTTTGTGTCTGTTTAAACTAATTTGATTGATTTCGTTGGATTAATAGTTACAGGGAAAGAGAGAAGGTTGTGATTAATTTGGAAGATGCACGGCCAGGAGCGGTGCCGGCCACCTTTAAGACGGCTGATCAGATGACAAGGCAAACTTTTAAAGATGTGGGACGTTTTGACGATGAGGGCGCCGCAGTTGTGGACGGAGAGCGTGAGCGTTAAGGCTAAGTGTGAGTATACGTAACAAAATTATTAATACCATTTTATACCGGTTGATACGGTCGGTAGTACTAATTTTTGTATTAGTAAAAAATGATATAAAATTAAATTTTGTTTTAATCAAATTTTATTAATTTCAATCAAATTTTAATATATTAATTAATATTTCAATATATCGATTAGTATATCAAAAATGTACCAATAGAAAAAATCAATTTAAATTAGAAAGAGCAGTGCTAGGGCCACTCACCTGTTGCACTCTCCAACCATCACATACCTTTCTTTTTTTTTTTTACCGGTTGGACCATTTGGATAAACTGATAAATCAATTGAACCAGATTTAGTGCTCACGAGTTAATTATCGGATTAGATAATTTTTATATTTTAATTGTATAATAATGGCAGTATTGTCGCACCCAAAACTTGTTAACTATCACATACCTTTTTATTGGCCACGTAAGTTTGCTTAAAAGCTATGAAATCCTCCTCTTTCAACCAAAATAACTGGCCCAATGAAAATGGAAGTGTGGGTTGGTGAGTGCAATTAGCGAGTGCCTCTATTGCTCATTTGAAAAATGTGTCAGTACAAAGTCAATTCAAATTTGAAAAATGTGTTAGTACCTAATTAATTCAAATTTGAAAAGGGTAAAGTTTCTTTTTGATTCTAAATTTTAAAGTTTTATGTATTTTTATTTTTTTAGTTTATTAACTATAAAAAATATATTTTTTTAATTTTTTTATCAGTTATTTAGTTAAGTTTAGTTAAATAATCCTATAGTGGTATTTTTTAAAACTTTTTTTATAACATGTCAATAAAAAATATATTTTTTTAATTTTTTTATCAGTTATTTAGTTAAGTTTATCTAAATATATATATTTAATGTTTCAAAAAAAATTATGAATATTTTATATTATTAAAGTTTCTTTTTGATTCTAAATTTTAAAGTTT